ACCAGACGAACACGCACAATGTCGGCGGCTTGAAGGCTTTCCGGCGCATCGCCCCCACCAACGGAGCAGCCTTCATTGTTGCTATCGCTCCTCACGCGCCCAGGGTCGAAGCACATCATGGAACAGGGCAGCATTGCTAGCGGACATTACCGGTGAGGAGGCATGGATCTGACGCTGTTGCTCTGCCCGACTGGCCAGCCACAAGGGTGTCGGGGCTACTGTTTGCTCCTGCAAACAGTCCGACGACACATGCGACAGCTCAAGCTCAAACTCGCGACCGTATCAGCAGCATGTGTCGGTCGCGACCATGTACATAACACCGCCCTCCTTTCCGCACATCCCCGGGACGCCGACTCGCGCACGAAACACATTCGCCGCCGCCAGCCCAACGGGGGAACACGGGAACATGGAGAGGGAGGAGCCCGGGGCCATACCTTTTACGCGTCTGGACCCTGCCATTGCGTGGACGCGATCAAGGGGGACTGTCACAGGTGAAGCAACCAAACACCGGTCTCGCGATTAACGCATAGCCAGCACCTGTGCCGCAGCAATCATAGTGTTGGATTCTGAAAGACACGAATGACCTGCATCCGAGTCTCGAGAGTGAGCGACTCTTTCAGCAACACGGTCGCCCTGGACATTGCAGCTCGATAGGTGCGCGAGAACATCGCCAGAGGCATTGAGCGGCCCGGCGTACGTCTCACCACGAAGGCTCTCGAATGGGATGCTGACCTCTCCAGCCTTGAGCACCACTCCGTCTCCAGCACCACTTCGCGATTCCCCCGTCCCATCGCTTCACCATTCAACGCACATCTCCTTATCGCCCACACTCCAGACACATCATGAGCGAGTCGCGCCGTGGTGAATATCTGGTCACAACCTCCACTGGCATGAGCAGCAGGAAGGCCTTGCCGAGACTCCATCGGCCCCGGTCCGAGTGGACCCCATCCCAGCTCTTGAATACGGTTGTCGCACTGCAACGGCCCCGTGTCCAGGCGCGTCGTTCCAGCCCGTTAGCGGTCACGGATGACAGCAGGGCTATGAGGATACCCTGGAAAGTCTTTGCAAAGTACTAGCAAGCACCGGCTAGCGGAACGCGATCTCGCTTTCTCTTGTGAGTCTATGCGTGGAACCAAGTACGATATGTCACTTCGCCACTCGCCTCGACCAATTTCACCGATCCGCGAACTATGAGCACGAGCCTGCTTGGACCCAAACTTCTACGGCAACACCAGATCGTGTGTTCCACTTCACACCGGATCCGGCGGTAGCTAGGTGGATTACATCATCATCATAACTCGAGCAGCGCCAAGCTTTGTAGCCGATAACGTGGCAGAAGGCCTTCGTAGAGCTCTAGCAACCGAACGTCGTGGTTCTCTTCGCGAAAAGGCTAGCTAGCAACATGGTCGTTGAACGGGCCATTTTCTCTCTCGGGTAGCCGACAGCTTATTGCACCATGATCGGGCTCATCCCTCCACATCCACAGCTTGTCATCGCATGGCGGCAGCTCAGGCTCATTGCGACAGTGGCGGCCCCACTATATGGCGCGATGATAACACAAGTCCAGCCGAACGTTGAAGGATCTAGAAGCTCACCTGTTGCCTCTTGCAACTGAATCTGTAATGCTACGGGCTCGAAGCCGTCAAGTGCATGGATCCGCGCCGTGCCACAATCTTTTGCAGCTGGCGCAGCTGCAAGAACAGCCCTAGAGCTCTCGAACGCGCTGAACCCTCCCATCCTCTTCTACATACATCTCACCCCTCTTCATTTCTCTCCTTTGCGTCGCTGTAGTTTTCTCCGTGATTGTGTGAACTGGCTTCTGATTAATCTCACTTGCCTCCAAGTGGCTTCCTGAGGCTCACACATTACATTCGCTGCCCGTCAACCGGTGTTAGCCCTAGAGGGCCTCGCGGGCGCGCTAGCCCACCGACAAGGCGCGAAGCTGTTGCCTAGCACCGGGACTAGGAGTGCTGCCATTCCCAAGCCACCGACTACACAATCTGCGATTGCGAACTGAACCTTCCACCCGCGACACTCTCCGCCATGCGCGTGACAAGGTCCATGGCGAGCAGCGAGCAGCTGTTACCTTCCTCTGCGTCCAACCGGCCCCTCGATCAACCCTCCTCACACACCCCGACGCTACCGGTGCCACACCTCTTGCCCAAACCGAGATACCATGAGATTTACGACTTCATCCAGAGACTTCACGACGGCAAAGAATCGGTCAAGTATGGGGATCATAAGTTCGCCGTCGTAGTTCGACGCCGAGACTGGCCTTCACTGGAGAATGAGCTGTTCGAACCAGGAGTGGAGAGCGAGAACCTGAACCGGCACACTGCTGGTTGGGCAGGCGACAAAGTCTACTACAACTACGATGACCGCACAAGATCTCTTACCATCAAAATGCGCGGTTACGCGCTTTACTGTCGGGTCACAGGAGGCCTTAGGTCCCGGCTGTGTGGGAAATTGGCCAGTGTGAAGAAAGACGTGGAATTGGGTGTAAGCATACTTGATCCAGATCATAGAACGCTTACATGCTCGATCATCGATGATCTCGAGTTTGTCGGCCGGGAACAAACATATATTCGCCCTCAGTCCCTTCGCACGCCTTGCATCGCTTTCAACTACGCACACAAGAATCTTCCAGGATTCGTCATTGAGATTTCGCATGGTCACATGGATCTCAGACGAGCAGCGCATGATTATATAGCTCGCAGGAAGGGTAAGTGACATCGCTTGTAAACTACGTGTGGGATATACACTAACATCAAACACCGAGTTGCAGGCAATACCAAGACATTCGTCGGGATTGAGTTTGAACATCGTACGCCTAAGCAACAACGCGTGTTGCGCGAACAGCCTCACTGGGCCACCTACCAAGTGTTTCGTTTCCGTGTCAAGGACAAGAACCTGGCGGTTATAGACGTCGGCACTCGTGTCAAGTTCCGAGATGCTAATGGTGTCATCTCGCCAAACGCCAAAATCCCGTTCTCTGTAGCCGACTTTGTAGCCGATTCTGCGCAGCCAGATACGGTCGATCTTCATGCTCTACAGCTGGACTTTACGCATCAAGAGCTTCACGACATCTTCTCATACGCAGAAAAGTATTCACGCATCGTAGACGAGTATAGCGACAAGATGCGTTCTGAAAGGAGGCAGGAGTATGAATACGCGGAACTGGGCGATGCGGATAGTGATTCCAACACTTCTGATTCTAAGGATGTCGGCACCGATGGGAACAACAAGGACGAGGGCGATTCTGATATCCTGAGCCATGTCGATGAGAATCTCAGCGAGCACGGCAGCCCCAGCGCCACGATTGCCACTTCACCGGCCCCTGCACGTGGCTCACCCCCTCTCAAGAAGCGGAGGCGCGATGGTCCTGGCAATATACACATTGGCGAGATCAGAAAGAGCTGAAGGGTGGTTGGACCCTCTGGGTCGGGCGTACAGCCTCTCGCGCGTGGGTGATAATCACGCTTATAACCCTACTGGCTGGTCATCAAGGCTTCTTTCTGTTACACGATACCCAGAGTTCGACTTGAGCTCAAAAGGCGCGACTCGCGGATCATGAGTGACCTGATACCACGACGGGATTGTCACGGAAGTTTAACTTTCATATGATATCGCGGTGTCCACATACGATGGGTGAATTCCACAACGCAGTCCATGACGTGCGCATCAAGTGATAACCTCTTTCTCATCCCTTCCATTATTTAAACGGCGGATTCAGTCATCGTGTATCCCGTGTGTGTTGCGGGAGTCATTGCGACACCGACTTCTACGAACAAGTCTTCTCTTCAACGATAAATTGCTAATGACATGTAGATGTGAGCCTGGCACGATCTTTGCCCCGTTACCAAGATGTGAAGGCTGAGCTGTCACATGCTTATCGGTAACGGCAGTGGAGACAATGTTGATCAACGCCATCATGATGTTTACGCTCTACTCATAGACAAGTTTCTATAATTGGTGACAAAGAAGTAGATGCATAGACTGAAGGAGATCTTGAGCTAGAGGGAGAAATTCGACAGAGAGCCTACGTTCCAGGAGAGTACTGGAGCAACGACAAGAACCTGAATCGAGTTCTGCGCTTGCACGACAGAAGACGCGATAGTATCACAAGAGTGGCTCGATGGAAGGCGACGCCAATCGCAGGAAGGAGCTGATCGGATCAAAGAGTCATGACGCCACGTATTCACGAATGCTTCACTGATAGGGACTGAGAAGGTACTAGAATCTTAGTCATCGCCATCAGCGGTTGGTGAGCTCTCCAGTGCGCGTACAAAAGCGACTGCACATAGGCCAGCATCATACACGACAGATGTTGCACGACATGTATCGAGGACCCTGTGTCGTCGCGGTCGGCGACAGCGTGTCGACATGCAAACCGTAGACATCTCCTCCGTGCCTCCATATGAACAGAGTCGACTTTGCCTTGCTAGCATACTTGAAGCGTAAAAAAGAAAGGGTTTTGCTGCATTAAGCAGCACTAGGACGTGGTGGTTGGCTTTGAACAAACAGTCCTGCGACGGGATGAAGAGCTTACCGCGCGCCCCATCGTTACTTGCGCATCCAGCCGACGTCGTTTGAGAGCGCTGTCCGGAACGAGAGCACACCTGTCAAGCCAGACACCCCGCTTTCCAAGCGTCACGAACCCTCTCCAGATGTCTGATGAGCTGCCCAGACTCTGCTTCACCTACAGGCTTTGCACCCATCCTGCCACGGCTCCCGTGATTTGCACAAAGATGGGGCATGACATGGTCGTGCTCATATCGTGGTCGTAATGAGGGCATACCGTGCGTCGCAGTGCTTGAAGCGGAGGTATCATGTAGTCTTTGTCGGGTGCGGCAATCGAGAGCTGGCTGCGGGGATACGGACAGGCATGTAGGGATACTCGTGTTGGCATATAAGCACGCAGCGGCGTGTGATGTGAATGCGGGCAAAGCGGCGGGTTGTATTTGACAGCAATCGCGCAAACTGTAAGGGAAAGCAGCTACATGGAGCATCCGTCGGCGAAGACGAGACCGAACACAACACGTGTTCCTGCGATCCCAACGACACACCTCTACCTGAGCGAAGGTCTGCCGAGTCCAGCGTCCCAGAGTCCATCTCTTATGACCGCCAGTTTCTCCAAGGTGTGCTCCGACAACTACTGTGCGGCCCTTACACCGATCGCGAAGGCGAGAATCTCGCTCATTGGAAGACTGGGATCGATATGCTGCGAGCAGTACTTCCAGCTCTACAAAGCTTTGCATCAGATCAGCCACATGACATCGGCGAGAAACCGGCTTCCCTAGATAGCGCCTCGAACCTCTCTCGCAACCATTGGGTTTCCACCTCTGCTCAAGAACTCGGTACTTTCCTCAAACAAGGTCGTGCTCTGAACGCGCATACACCGACTTTGCGGATCTCCAATACCTTTGAACGTTTCCAAGATGCTGAAGCAGCTTTCCTTCGCTTCGCACAGCACCGCGAAGTGAGTTTGATGTACCAGAATTGGCAGATTCTTGGCGGTAGTACCCCAGAGATGACCGCTCAAGACTTTTGCAAGCGATACGAAGATCGCATGTCAAAGGAGAAGCGCGCGACCTCCGACGAGTTTAGAAACTTTTTGAGCATCTCCGGAGCAGCTCTGGAGCACGTCGTACCAGGGCCAGACTTTCTTCGGGACCTTGGATACAGCTTGCTCAATGATCTCAAGGTTCAGGTTCATCTCGACGAACAATCTCAGTTTGGACCACCCGGAGGCAAAGAGACAAAGACGCGAACAATCGACTGCGAGGCCTGCCTTCAGTTCGTGTTGTATGGAGAGCGGTTTTCATTCTCTGGGTGGCACCTGGATGTACTAAATGGAACGTGGCTGACAACCATCACCGGCTTCCGTGCCTGGTTCATATATACTGGACTATGGACCGAGAAGGAATAGAAGGAACTAGAAACCTCGGTGGCACAGTGGAGACCAGCTGCTGAACATGTTGAAATTATTCTTCTCCGCCCCGGCGACACCCTCATCATGAGACCTGGTCATCCGGTAGTACACTGCGTCCTTACATTGGACGACTCTATTGCACGAGGAGGCATGATTTGGTCAGCAGCCGACATCGGCAGAACTATCAAGAACATCAATTACATCATTCAGTCGCCAATGGCCACAAATGAAGACATACCTCGGCAATTCTGCAATTACCTGGATGCGCTGTATCGTCATGTTCAGGAGGGGACACCAGCAAATACGAGCGCGGAATACGCACGTCGATTACAACATCCGGTGTACTCTTCTAGCGACTTGGAAAGCATCGCAAACCTCATCAAGCAGCTAGAAGACAGCAAAGTTCTATCTTGCGCTTGTGCAAAGACATGTAAAATCCCGTCGCAGAAAGACTTTGACCGTTGGGAGAAGCTTGTGAAGCAGGGCAATGACGAGAAATGGAAAGAGGATCGGAACAGATTCTGTCCGTGCTGGTGTTCTGGAGAACGTGTTCATGCTCGGGGCTGCAATAGGTGGTGTCATGCAAAGAAGAAGCTTGCTTGCATGGTGTGACGGAATGCATTTGGATCAGTGCGCGAATGCTCGTAGATAAAGAGGCTCAAATCACTAGACTCATCGGGTAAAACATACTCAGATTCCCTTCGTCCCTCTTTAGTGCAATCTTAAAGTGCACTGTCTGGCTTCGTTCTTGCTCATCGCGACACGTCCTCTTCTGAGCTTACTTCTGAGTGCTTGCGCTCCAACACGTCCGCCATATCAACACGTCCGCCATCAACACGTCCGCCATCAACACGTCCGCCATCAACACGTCCGCCATCAACACGTCCGCCATCGACACGACCGCTCGTTGTGAAGGTGCTTCGTTGCCGGCCTAGTGCCTGTCAGAACCTTGGAACGCTTCCACGTCACGATATTTGCCATTCGACCGTTGGCGCCACTGGGCTCGTCGCCTGCAACTTCCCTGTCCGTTCGCACCTGTCTCTGCCTCACGCGTAACCATGTGGAAGGTGATGGAATCTTCGTCTGCCGAGATATTGGTGTGGTGTAGAAGCTCATCTTCACTCGAATCGCCAAGGTCGATGTTTCGCGGATCAAAAGTACTGACGTAGACCAGTGGTACGGACTGATCAGCCTCATATCTTTCGAAACAACGTACCACAGCTTGGTTGTAGCCCGGACTTGCGTCGACTCGAGTGTCTGAGATGCCGCTGCCATGGGCGTTCTGAACACGCTCGTGCTTGACCATGGTAGCGGGTCATCCTTCGACGCTGTGAGTGTGCGCGCGCCCGTCGTCTGCCATCAAAGAGCTTGAGGGGTGGGGTGAAGTCAACCAATAGGAGCCAAGCTAACCTCCGGGGTCCATCTGGGTGGGCTACCAGTGCGGAACCCCCCCACGCCTGACTTGTGTTCTGTCTTTCGCGCTCGAGCCTGAGGGATCTTTTCGCCACATGTTGGACGGCAAGGTGTATTTGCTACGATGCTCATGTGTTGGCGTTCGAGCGCTGCGCAGCATCTACCCCATTCTGAAGACTCCGAGTTACAGTTTAGCGGCTGGCCCGCGCGGCCCCGCGCTGACCGCGAACGCCCCAAGCCCGGACACAGGTCCAGGCACTCGCCTGATATCCATCATCTGTCCATTGTTTTGCTACACAGCGTCCTTTATCATATGGCACAACCTGCTCGCGACGCGTCAGATTGCGAGAATTCCATCTGGTCAAAGACCCACTCACAGCTGACACGATAAGGCGATCACACGGCGCTGGAATGGACTCTCGTGCGTCTGTCCTAGCCCACACAGGTTTCGCATGAAGAGTATTATCATCTGTTGGTAAACTGGTCTCGCTTTTTTGGGTATGGTAATGTCGTATGCCGAATTGAACTCTCGATCCACTACGCAGGAATTCTATTCTGAACGCTAATCGCAGTCCCAGACACGAGCCCTCTCTATGAACAGCTGCAGTCTCAAGCCCCGAGTCTCCCCACAACGATCACTGGGTTCGTACACCCACAAGCGAGGATGCGGCAAAGCGGACATCCCGCATGGGCGGTCATTGTGGAACTAGTGCTGGGGGGCTCTTTGCCTAGGATAAGCCACGGTTCGATACCCCTTGATGTCATGAACGTATCTCGCTGTGGAGACATATCTTGCTGGGCGATTAGTTTATGAGCTCTTCACGCTGTCCAACGAAGGTGGTTCTCGGTGTCATATGCCACCACATGACGAGGACGAACAAAGCCCGCCCTTCACTCGTTGGGGTTGTCATCCGCGGTTTGAGGACCTTGTACAAAACATCGATGCCGGCACATGGGTCGCTCCCGGCGACTGGGCCGGTGGCTGTTCTGTTACCAACGACCTGATCGAACACTTTCCCCGGGCGAGCATCTCGCATTTCGTGCAGGATGGCACCACTCGGTACCCCACCTTTGATTTGGTCTCGCTCGAGATCATTCATACGAATCTGGAGGATATCGCGGTACAGCTGCGCGCTTCGTGCCCGCAGGCCATCATGGATGAATTGTCCGCGACTCTGGAGCACCTTGACCGATTGATCCATGGAAAGCAGGAGACAGAAGATTGTCAACGACGGGGCCACCATCGGCTCCCTCAATCTGAGTGATCTTATTCGGGAGCCGGTACCCGATCTAGAGGTTGCCGACAATGCCAGCATGCACGCCTCGGATGATGAGGAAGTTACTCTTTACGAGGGCGAAACCCAATACCTTCAAGCAGTAAACGGTGGGGCCACCAATGAAACCTACAATCTCGACGACGTGCTCATACAGTCAGACTTTGAAGACAATGCCAGGATCCTCGAGCTTGGTGATGCGGAGATGGCTGCGTACGAGGGCGACACGGACGAGCCTTCAACGCTTTCACTTGATTACGACTTCATCTACGCCGACGACATGGACGCCCAACCAGTCCAAAACCAAGTCGATGCCAGCGCGGTGCCTACACCATCCAACACCGGCCTTCTTCAGAAATTCGAATCAATGAACGTTAACGACTATGGAGAAGAGGTCTCGTCCCCGATCAATGGCCCACTTACCCCTCATGACCATCACGGCCCATCCGTAAATCAGTCCCTCGGTACCGACAGCACCGAGTCTGAACTTGGGCCTGGATCTGGCGACGATGAAGCCGCCATGTCGCACTCTGACCTCAACCATGACCCTCAGCGGAGGCATCTTCCCGTGTACGACATCCGCCACCATGTGTGCTCATCAAGGAACGGGTGGACGTGGGACTAGTAACCTTCTACCCACCACGTTGGTGGGTTGTTTGTCCAGAAGCCTGCAGTACGAGCTAGATTGGATGAGAGGTTGACATGCCATGCGCGAGTTCGGGTAGTACCTAAGCTGGAAGAGGTGAGGGGTTTGACAGGTATACAAATTGCGAATGGGGACGAATTCGACGGCAGAGACGGCGTTAGGTGCTCATTGGCGTTGGCGTTGGCGTTTTTGCTTTCTCGATCAGAAGACATGCAGCGTGCGACGAAACAGGAATTGATTGTAATGGTACTCAAGTACAAATGTAGCATGTGATCTCCTGATACCTCTTGCGTTGGTGTACCAGCCAACGTCATCTCGTTGGTTTGCTCGGAAGCAAGCCGCACTTCCGCATCTATCGCCTCCCCCGTCCTCGCAAGACTGTCTTCATCACTTTGCGCAAAGCATGACTCTCATTCAAGCAAGCTTTTACAGAAGTTCCGTGCTGCTCTTTTGACTAAGCCGTGGAAGATGTCGAGCAATATGGACCAAATGAGATACGCCCTCTCATGTTCTGGATGGCTGATACCAAGAAACTCTCCTGAATCAAGATGCACTACACTGAATAGTCGACCGTGTTTCTGCGCACAAGTCGCTGCAACCTTTTGGTGGCGAATAACGACTACACAATGCAGACGGCGAGGACCATGTAAGCGCGACGAGCTCATTAAGCTAGAATCCGAAAGTCAGGCATGGAGAAGAAATTGATGGTCGAAACAGCCAAGTATCATCATGATAGAGCCTGATGCCTATGGATGAAATGAAAGCACATGGTAAAGTTAGGACAGATAGCTGACAGCATGACGGGGACGGGAATGGCGTTCAGATGCTCAACTGAATTCGTGCTAGATCTAGAGGCAAGGCTCATCACTCGAACGGTCTCTGGAAGCCCCACGCAAGATTCTGGCATTGGAAATGTTCCCATTTTTAGCCAGTGACCTCATGTTGCTAGCTCGTCACCCTGCGTTTTCCGTGTACTGCATCATGAGATGGTCGGCACAAGAGAGCGGCCGTGGATCCAAATCCAGAAGGATGCGTGAGAGTAGCATGGTAAGTTCAGTAAGCGTTGAAGCACTTGTCGGCTCCAGGTCATCGGCCCCTGAATATACGGCTACCCGCACGTGGTGTGATGGCACAACACAACCTCTGCCCTAGGGGGTGAAAGACTGGATCGGTTTGGCTACGTGACATGCGCAATGGGCAAGATTAAGCAATCCTACGACTTACTTACTGTATCGAATGCGCAAGTCGTAGGAAGTAAAAGGCTGGGAAGCGGTGCGACATTGAGCTGATCTCTGGCTTCTGCTGCAGCTTCGCGCAGGTTGATCAAGCTATGCTACAATCGCTCCCTCCGTTTCCTATGGAGGCAAACCCAGACGGTGCGATTGGACCGTGAAGGCCTTCAAAGACTTGGGCACAAACGCGTCCTGATACCACAAGGGCGTCTATAACCGGAAGAAGGCGCTCCTTAAGGGCAAGGTGAACACACGGTCGAAAGCGCTAGGCTGGAAGAGACAGGCTGGTCGTCCTTCTCATTACCTCCACTTGCCAGTGTACTATGCCAATAGCCTATCAATTAGCGCCCCTAATCAACGTACTAGAGATGACGTATGGGGCTGCTGACAAGCCTTTATGCTTTTCTAAACCTCGGAAGACATCGGCCTACCTACCTTAGGATGGCATTGGTCGTCTCGAAGCTATTATATTGAGGCGAAGTAAAGAGTCCTTAGGCAGATATAGCGTACGTACTCCCTTTGTAAGGCCTACAAGGAGAAGATGGCTATGTTTGCGTGTGTCGAGAGATACCCATAGTGCGACGGCAGACACTACGGCACCTGTTAGTCGAGACGGCGCAACCTACCGCGCCTTTAGAGACAGATTAGAGGGTCTCGACCATCGTTACACCATCTTCCTTTCCTGTTTCTCTTTCCTAAGTTGAATCGGAGGGCGCTTAGTTGTCGACGCTTGATGCCGCCACACGCATCATGAATCGCTGAGAAGCAGCTTGAGCTGTAAAAGGGCCACAGTCAAATTTCAACCAGTTATAGTCCTACTTTTCGCTTTTCGTTGCCCCGATTAGGGACACGTGAAGACACTGGCCTGTGGTCAGGCTAACAGTTTGCCCAGTCGGTGCGCATGCGAGGTTGTCCATGGAGAGAACGGTCAGCGCTCAGCCTGTTCGCAGCTAGCTTTGTGCATATCAGTTTATAACGACGCCAGCAGTCGTGTTGTTCCTCGGAGAAGTTGGAGTTGTCGGTGTGTGTCTGAAGCCTGATGTCGGCCTCGTGCTGGGTTCACCGAGAATGGCAGCAGTTGAGATCGTCTTCGCCGGTGGGCACATTTGGCGCGCGGTCGCTGTTCAGGTACGTTGCGCTCGATACGTGTACGATATAGCTACATGAGATGGCGTCACTCATACGCGGTTCGCAAACCAGTGGCGGCTGTGGCTATCAGCGCAAGCACTGCATGTACCGCTCTCGTCCCGACGCGATAGAAATCTCACATGGGCACAGCCTTACAGCATTCAAACAGCCACTTGTCCGAGAAGGGTCGCGTATACCGGCACAAGCGCTCCAGCTGCCCTGCTAGCCCCGGGTGTGGTCGCACCTCCTCATCTGCTCATGACGGCCGAAGGCTCAATTGCTGCCGATGGGTGAATGTGCCAGGTGTATGTGCATGCTGTTTTCGAGGTTGGGGCCGTGTGGTGACAGGTGTGGCGGGCTGCATGGGCAATGGAATGCGCCTCTCGATTCAGCTACAGCATGCGAGGCGGAGGTCCTAATGTCGCGGGGTAGTTGGCGCTTTCTCCGCGCGGCTGGTGGTGGTGGTGGTGGTGGTGGTGGTGCTGGTGGTGCTGGTGCTGATGCCGCGGAGCCAGGAGCCTGCAGCTGATCTGGGCCTCGGCGCGGGGAAGGCCACTAGTCTGCATCGGAAGCGTGCTCGAGCCCTAGAGGTCGCGGATTTGCAAGCATGCGGTGTCTTCCCAGCAGTCTTTCCATGGCAAAAGCAAACAAGGCGGGAAACGTTCCAAACAATCGCCTCCTCGGACTTGCCGTCGCAAGGTCAGAGATCAATTCCACTGAGTGCAATTACGTTAGATCGCTAGGGAGAAATCCCTGGATTTCCGACCTAGAAGATAGAACAGGGAAGACGAAGGGAACCTTGGAAGTGCTGGTGTTGGGGTTGCGCGGCGGATGCGGGGCAAGCCGTGATGCGAGCTGTCACGCTACTCCTAGAGCGGCATGGCCTTGATCATCCATCATTCACACGGGCTTCGAGAGCGATAGCCATGCCTTTTCTCTCGTGAGTCCATACGTCGTAGTGACATCCGCCACATCTCACCCTTTCTCCTGTAGGCGCGCTTCGTACTCGCCAGGCTCTCCGTAACCTTCATACCCCCTCGCCGACGACGACGACGACGACGACGACAGTCTCCAACGCTTAACCGCCCCTACAGCAATACGCCCCGCCCGATAATTCGTCGCACCCAATAATGCACTGTCTGGGAGAACTCCCCATGCCCACATCGTGTCCAGGTACTGGCAGCCATGAATCCCTTGCCAATGATGACGCACAACACAATACGTCGCACTGGTCTGGTCGCTCCAACGATGCCGCTTGACAGCACTACTTGTACAAGTATCCGTGTACGGCCACCGACCCATCTCGAGTCCATCTTGCTGACGATCCAGCCTAGGCCTCACCACCAATCGCACACGCTCCCGAACGGCTGCACGAAAGCCATACGACTTTCGCATCAACCGCAGAGCTCCCGCACACCAATAACACCAGCGCCCATGACTCCTCCGACAGCGCCGATCGAAGGCACAGCCAACACCCTTCACACAAGCCTTGTCGCGCGTTGACCGTCTTACGACTTGGGACGATTGGCTGGCACACTGAACATGGAGGTGAACGGTGCGGCGTGGTGACTCAACGAGGGCGAGGATACCCGCGCCGACGTCCCCTGATCGGTGAGGCCAGAAGAGCAAGGCCAGCATGCACGACTACTTCGTCTCGCTAGATGAGTAGCGGATCGGCTGCATCGTCTTGGATACCTTACAAGAGACATACTGGGCTGGTTTGGGAGTCGGCTTTTCGCTTTGGACTCGTGCACCTCCAACGATCATGTGAAGGAGATCTCGTCGTCGGTTCCAAGTGAGTTACGGGCGAACAGCTATCACTCGCAGACCTGGGACGACAGGGTCCGTTGTTCAGACATGGAAAGAAAAGCGTGCGCATCACGCTCGACCGCACCAACAAGGACGGCTTTCGGACCCTCCCGCGAGGGCATCTCAGTTTTGCTTCGAACCCGATGCGTCCCTCGCTCCTTGAGTGTATGCTCGATGGCATCCGCGCCTTCGAATGATCGAACGGCTGTAGCACGAATCTTCTGCGAAATGGCCCACGTGGTTGCGGTCGGGGCTACGGCACAGCCAGGTGTCGGCTAGCTCTCGCGGGCAGTTACTGAAGGCTTTCAGGACTCGTGTCGAGCTTTCTTTGGCGGGATGATCTCGCATCTTTCGCGCGTCGCATCTCTTAGTCGGCTTTCGTGACGGGTCATGAACCGCGATATCAAATCGACATGGTCGACCACTACTTCACTACGCACGAAGTGAACTGAAGTGTCGAGGTGGAAAGTTGGGGCGGAGAGCCCGGTGCGTTACGAGCTGAGGTGCTGTTGTCATGTATGTGCAAATGATCGCATCGTCTCTTGGAACGCGCCCTGCGCGATAAGGGCGACTTTTCGGGCTTCTGGATCACCAACAATGACGAGCAACGAGCAATGTTCCTTTACTCACTTGTGTATTTCAGTCATGTCGTAGCCGCTGTGACAGATGCTCTCAAAGGCGAAGCAACAGATTGTCGTGGTGTTGCTAGATACGCTGTCTCTTTCCGTCTTCACCTGGGCAACCCGCAATCTAGACTAACTTTCGTTGCTCCGACCCGCGCACTCACCGACTGACGTTATCTTCCGACTC